GTGCTCATAGATAGAAAGAATCAACATCATTAAGATGGCCATCCTTTCCAAAGCATTTTACAGATTCAATGCAATCCCTATCAAAATACCAACAGCATTCTTCAATGAACTAGAACAAATAGATCTAAAATTCATATGGAACCAAAAAAGGCCCCAAATAGCCAAAACAATCCTTAGAAAGAACAAAGTGGGGCAGATTACACTCCCTGACCTCAAACTCTACTACAAAGCTACAGTAATCAAAACAATTTGAAACTGACACAAGAACAGACCCATAGACCTATGGAACAGAATAGAGAGCCTAGATATTAACCCAAGCATATATGGTCAATTAATATAGGATAAAGGAGCCATGAATATACAATGGGGAAAAGGCAGCCTCTTCAACAGCTGGTGTTGGCAAAACTGGACAGCTACATGTAAGAGAACGAAACTGGATTATTGTCCAACCCTATATACCGAGGTAAACTCAAAATGGATCAAAGACCTGAATGTAAGTCATGAAACCATAAAACTCTTAGACGAAAAATCTGTTGAATATAAACAGAATCTTTTTCCTGAACAGATCTCCTCAGTCAAGGGAAACAAAGTAAAAAATGAACAAGTGGGACTACATCAAACTAAAAACCTTCTGTACAGCAAAGGACACCATCAGCAGAACAAAAAAGGCATCCTACAGTATGGGAGTATATATTCATAAATGACTCATCTGATAAAGGATTAACATCCAAAATATATAAAGAATTCACACACCTCAATACCCAAAAAGAAATAACCAGATTGAAAAAGGGGAAGGGGATCTGAACAGACACTTCTCCAAAGAAGAAATTCAGATGACCAACAGGTACATGAAAAGACGTGCCACATCGCTAATCATCAGGGAAATGCAAATTAAAACCACAATGAGATATCACCTCACACCAGTTAAGATGGCCAACATCAAAAAGACTAGAATAACAAATGCTGGTGAGGATGTGGAGAAAGCAGAACCCTCCTACACTGTTGGTGGTACTGCAAATTGGTGCAACTGCTGTGGAATGCAGTATGGAGATTCCTCAAAAAACTAAAAATAGAAATACCATTTGACCCAGTAACTCCACTCCTAGGAATTTACCTGAAGAAGACAAAATCCCTGATTCAAAAAGATATATGCACCTCTATGTTTATTGCTATAATGTTTGCAATAGCCAAGATATGGAAACCATTCAAGTGTCCATCAATAGATGAATGGATAAAGAGGATGCAGTACATATACACAATGGAATATTATTCAGCCAGTCAAAGAAAAGAAATCCTGCCATTTGCAACAACATGGATGGACCTAGAGGGTAATATGCTCAGTGAAACAATCCAGGCAGAGAAAGACAAATACCATAATGATTTCACTTATTTGTGGAATATAAAACAAAGAAAAACAGAAGGCACAAAACAGCCTTAGACTCATAGACACTAAGAAGTGACTAGTGGTTACCAAGGGGGAGGGGAGTGGGTAGGGGCTGGGGGAAGAGTGAGGGGGACTGTTGATCAAGTGTGATGTGCATTTGATAAAAAAAAGGTAGATCCTAAAAGCAGGAAGAGAAAAACAACTTGTTATGTTACAAGGAAACCCCATAAGGCCATCTGTAGATTTTTCAGCAGGAACTTTGCAAGTCAAAATGGGGTGTTATGACATATTCAAAGTGCTGAAAGGCAAAAACTGCCAGCCAAAAATTTTCTACCTTGCAAGGTTATCATTGAGATAACCTTCAAATTCTCAATTGAGAACTAAAACAAAAATGTGGCTGAATGGATTTAAAAAAGGACCCATGTGTATTCTGACAACAAGAGACTCATTTCAGAAGTAAAGACAGACACAGACTAAAAGAGAAGGGATATTAAAAGATATTCCATGCAAATGGAAATGAAAAGAAAGATGGTATAGTTATGCTCATATCAGACAAAATAGACTTTAAAACAAGGACTATAATAAAAGACAAAGAGGGACACTACATAATGATAAAGGTATCAATCCAGCAAAATAGGCATGACATTTATAAATATATATGCACCCAACATAAGAGCACCAAAATATATAAGGCAAATATTAATGGACCTAAAAGGAGAGACTGGCAGGAATACAATAATGATAATGGTAAGAGATTTTAACACCATACTTATGTCAAAGGATATATCACCCAGACAGAAAATAATAGGGAAACCTTGGCCTTAAACAATACATTAAGTCCAGATGGCATTACTAGATATATATATATATATATATAGAACTCTCCTTCCAAAAGCAACAGAATAAACATTCTCACATGCACATGGAACATTTTCCAGGATAGATCATGCGTTAGGACACAGAACAAGTCTCAGTAAGTACAAGAAGACTGAAATCATATCAAGCTTCTCTTCTGAACAATACACTTTGAAATTAGAAATAAATTATTAGAAGAAAACTAGAAAAAATATTAAAATGTGGAGATTAAACAACATGGTACTGAACAACTAATGGGTCATCAAAGAAATCAAAGGAGAAATTTAAAAAAATACCTACAGAAAAATGAAAACGGCAGTACTATGATATAGCAAAAGTGGTTCTAAGAAGGAAGTTCATAGCAATACAGGCCTACCTCAATAAACAAGAAAAGTCTCAAATAAAAAACGTAACTTTATATCTCAAGGAACTATAAAAAGAACAGATGAAGACCAAAGTTAGTAAAGGAAGGAAACAAGAAAGATCAGAGTGGAAATAAATCAAATAGAGACTAAAAAGACAATAGAAAAGATGAATGAAATTAAAAGCTGGTTCTTTGAAAAGACAAAATTTACAAACTTAGCTAGACTTACCAAGAAAAAAAAAAGAGGGCTCAAATAAGTAAAATCAGAAATGAAAGAGAAGTAACAAATGATACTACAGAATTACAAAGAACCATAAGAAGCTACACGAACAATTTAATGCCAATGAATTGGACAACCTAGAAGAAATGGATAAGTTCCCAGAAATTAAGTTCAACAAACATAATTTTAATTTACAATACTTTCCCCAGGAATCTAAGTTGTTAAAAGTGCAAGGACTTATTTTATATGATCTATTATGCACAGAAAATGGGGCCATCTGGAGATAATACAGAATCAACTGGACAAATTATGCAGCATAAAAATTTGTGTTAAAAATATGGTTTCCTAGTAGTTAGATTTGTTTGATAATAAAAAGGGTGATAAAGGAGAGTTGTGGAATCTCTTGCAATGGACTTTAAAAAACCCTTATATATGTGGGATGGCATAGTGGTCTTACTAAAGTTAAAGGAATTTTATAGCCTATGATTTTACAATTTACACAAGAAGCAGTTGAATGTATCAGGTAACAAGATGCCATCCAATCACATCACTGTGTCTCATATGTATTTGAGGATATATGACAGACATGGACATTGTATTGAAAAGAGTCCAGGATTTTAATCAGCATACCTTACTTTAAATCCAAGTTCTGCCGCTTTCTTGCTAGATGATCTTGGATAAGTTATTTGACATCTAGAGATCTGTTTCCTCAATTATAAAATGGGGGTGGTATGAATAATGCCTATTTAACTTGACAATTGCTAGAGACAAAGGATATGAAAAAAGTATACGAAAGTACTTTGTAAACTATAAAATGGTACACACATTTTTTTATAATTGAACATTTTTGAAAAAGTCTGGAACTGGAAACTCTTGAAGAAGATATCCTCTTTATAATGTTGTACTACATCTATACTTTAAGTGTTCTGCTTGCCAACACAAAAATCAGTTATGAATAGTTTTCTCCATTTCTAACTAGGTTAACTAGGTTAAGACCCTGAAAGTCTGATTTTATTAGACTTTGGGTTTCTTAATACCCAAATAAAAGTTGTTATAACTGTTGTAAGCTAAAGTCTGTTAGAAATACTGATAGCTGAAGGAAGGTAGGTCAAAATAGAATCCATTTTTCAATAGTCAGTAGGAAGAGGTAAGAGAATTGCTTATAAGTCCTTTGGACTGAGCAAAAACGCTTTTCTTTTTGTAACTATGGATTTGGGACTGCTTTGTCTTCCTTAGTCTTGGTAATGTGTCTTACTCTGAAACCTAATTAACCAGGTAGAGAACTTGGGCCTAGACTGTCTAACTGCATGAACACTTAGAAAGGCTTGTTCCCTGTCTCTGCTCCCACCTCAATGCCTTTCCATGTCCTAATTCAGCCTCATTCACCCCAGGTACAGTTGCTGGTAACTACTGTAAGTTCCCATTTAAAATTTCTGTCAGCTACTGCATTATTGGGACTAGCCACTAAAAATTACTCTCTGATGCCTAGTATTATAACATAAACGAATGTTGGAGGTGGAGACAAGGAATTGCGGCAATGGAGGTACATGACATGATCTCTTCACAAAAAAAATCTCAAGATGGCCCAATAATCTGGTGGGAAAAGGAGAAAGGGCAAATTGCTGCCCCTTATTTTTCCTTTGCCCCTCTGCCTTTTAGAAAAGGAGACTACATGCATGTGTAGGCTTCCTTCCATATATACTCTTTCATTATTTTATGTATTTAAACCATTCTAAAAGAGAATGAGAATAAAATTCTAATGAAAGCTTAACCAATGTGAATGAATCAGGGTAGAGAAACATGAGCTGTTGCCCATCAATTGAATTAATTCAAGGAAAACACCATGAGTGATCAATTGGCAGGATTGTTTACAAACATGCAGAGCACTGTTTATTATGTTTCCTGATTATCTAATTGGTTGTCAATCATAGTATCCCAAAGATGGTAACACACCTCCCAAGATGCCATCTAATCCTACCTCAGTCACCCATATTTGCTAAACAAATCTGACCATATATGCCCTTCTACATCCAAAGGGCACTGATGAGGTTGATGTGCTTATATAGTCTTTCTGGAAACCATTTTCTCACTACACTACACCATTGTGTTAATAGGGTCTTTGTTAGTGCTTGATCTGCTGGAGATACAAGACAGGATTTCTTGCTCAAACTACTTACCTCGGTTGTCATCCTCATTGTCCTCCCAGGGCTCTTCATTTGCTAGCAGTGGGTTCTGAGACTCACTCATAGACCTTATAGGGAAGGAGTGTCCATCACCAGGGCTGGTGGGGAAAGAAAGGCAGTGAACTCATAACTGATGAAGAATTTTTATGAAGGTAATAACCCTCCTAGAGATAGGAGGGGGCTTCTTAGGAAGACTTAAATCATTTAGCTTATTGGCTAAATCCGTGGTGGAATAGGTTCTTACAATATTATCAGTTTTTTGCATAATTTCTATATCTTGCTTATTTGTATGCATCAGTGTTGAGTCGTTTTGTTTGTAAGCAAGTCTTTAACTTGCTTCTCACAATGACCAGTTATGTCCTGTGCACACATAGCAAGCTTCATAAATATATTTTAATGCTGTGATCCTAATTTATATCCCATTACCTTATTGCTTTGGTTCTAAATTTTCAAGAAAAATTAGCAGATTCAGAAACATTGAATACAATGAAGATTCATTGCTGTGAGTTGGTTATAGATAATATTGCCTGAATTTGTTTTGTATTATTTGTTTTGTGTGGTAGAAAGGTTATTAGGAGCTGGAGGAAAGAGCCAGAGTAAGGCATCTCTAAAAGTGCAGATTCTGGGAGCAATTATCTGCATGTGTGATCATCTTTGTGGATATTTATGGTAACCTAGGGCTACCTCTCTGGTTAATCTCTGGCCACTAACAGTTAGGATGTTGTGGAGGAAGTGAAGGTTCCTATGGCCAGGATTCTCACCTGGCCCTGGTTGGCTAACTGACTACACACATGTGGGCAATATGTTGTTTTTAACTCTCTCCACCCAGTGCTCTGGGCAAGACTGCCACCTGGCAACATAGCGACACTGCTACAAGGCTGCAGGAGAGTAGAGACTGGAGTGGCAGCAGCGCCAAGGGCAGAGACTGACATGGCTGTGGGGGCAGAGAAGCTGAGGCAGAGACCTGCTTGCTGCATGCAGACTTGCTATGAGAGGACGGGATTCTTTTCTTGACCTGCCATCATGGAAATAAAGTTGGGTATAAACCCCTTCACCCCAAGAACGTTCCATTGTCGTTTTTTCAGTCTCACTGAATCCATAATGAACTTGTCTGGCTGAAACCCATTGGCAAGACAGATGTATTGGAGGGAACTGAGCTGGCTCTGGCTAGAGTGGGTTGTAGTTTAAACATTTGAGCCTATATATCTGAATGCATTTCAAATTTATATCTGAATGATTTTCATTATCATTTGATAATATCTATGCCTTTTCTCCTGTTCACAAATGTGGTTAATTGATAGTTGACAGATTTTATTGTTAGTTCTCTATAGAGGATATAAGTATACAGATTATAAATTAATTGGCTTTGATTTTTGCTTTTGTTCTTTATTCCAGAGAAGACTCATTTTACATCTCCCTTTGATGTTGTGGTAGTGTGTGTGTATTTGTGTATGAATGTTTGTGAGTGGGGGGCAAATAATTGCTGGTAATGGGTATTAATGCACATTACTCACTGACACAGTCTTGTCTTGTGATTTATAGTCAAGATAGTAGAATGTGCATCAGCTTTAAATAAATGAGCCTATAAAACACTAACTGGTACACAGGAGTAACAAATCAATAAGTAAAGGGGAGGAGAAGTTTTTTCTTAATTAAAATCTACTCCAACAGAATTTCCTCAAATAAATGAACAAGTGGATATATCTTGTCTGAGGAATGGATCTAAAGGGGGCTGCAAGAAGGCTATAAATAAGCTTTGATCGAGAGCTAGTTTAGTTGACAGTAGTTCATTCTGGTTCATGAAGTCACTCAGAGGACACAAAGTCATCTCTCCACTGCTTTCTCTTCATTCCTTTTGCAGTTCTAAGTATTACATACAATCTCTAAATCAATTTTTGTTATTACTTTTTGTTTTTTTTCCTTCATAAAATTAATATAAGCAATCACCCCACAATATGAAAAATGAAGACAAGAAAAATAATTTCTAAGACTATTGCCTTACTACTTAGAGTATTCTGAGGGAACTGTTTCCCCTCTGTTTTTCTTCTGTATATATTTGTACATATTTTTCATCACAATGTACATGTCATTTTGAGTTCTACATTTTTCACTTAAAATAGAGTATTTCCCCTTATTATGATAGTCTTTTTTTTAATTAAGCCATCATTGATATACACTGTTAGGAAGGTTTCACAAGAAAAACAATGTGGTTATCACATTCACCCTTATTATCGAGTACTCCCCCATTCCCCATTGCAGTCACTGTTCATCAGTGTAGGAAGATGCCACAGAGTCCCTATTTGTCTACTCTGAGCTACACTGTCTGCCCCATGACCCCACATACACCATGTGCACCAATCATGATACTCCATAATCCCCTTCTCCCTCCCTCCCCACCTGCCCTCCCCCAACCCTCCCCTTTGGTAACCACTAGTCCCTTCTTGGAGTCTGTGAGTCTGCTGCTATTTTGTTCCTTCAGTTTTGCTTCATTGTTAACTCCAAAAATGAAGGAAATCATTTGGTATTTGTCTTTCTCTGCCTGACTTATTTCACTGAGCATAATACCTCTAGCTCCATCCATTGTTGCAAATGGTAGGATTTGTTTCTTTCTTATGCTTGAATAGTACTCCATTCTGTATATGTACCACATCTTCTTTATCCATTCAACTACTGACGGACACATAGGTTGCTTCCATGTCTTGGCTATTGTAAATAGTGCTGCAATAAACATATGGGTGCATATGTCTTTTTGAATCTAAGAAGTTGTTTTCTTTGGGTAAATTCCTAGGAGTGGAGTTCCCGGGGCAAATGGTATTTCTATTTTTAGTTTCTTGAGGAACCTCCATATTGCTTTCCACAATGGTTGAACTAGTTTACATTCCCACCAGCAGTGTAGGAGGATTATGATGTAGTCTTTATTACCATTATTTTTAACCATATAATATTCCATACATATATATATATATATATAGTGTTTAGGTTGTTTCATATTTATTGGATGGTGTCTTGCCTGAGGGTTTCAACCCTGGACAATTTCACTATAGACTCAGTGAGACCGAGAAATGACAACAGAATGTTCTTGAGGGTAAAAGGGTTTATACTTAGCTTTATACTCATGGTAGTAGGTTGAGCACTAGAATCACATCTGCATGCAACAGTCTGCAGATCCATTATCTACCTCTGTCTCTGCCTCTGCCTAGAGCACTGGGCAGAACACCTTATATAGTGACTCAGTCAGTAATAGCTTATTGCCTACAGGTGTGGAGGCAGTGGCATAGCAGTAGGCCAATTACATCATTAAGTAATTTAGGGTCAGGTGAGGTTCCTGGCCATATGAACTTCAGTTTTCCCCACAGATGGAAATAATGCTGTGCTGAATATTTTTGTGCCTAGTTTGTCTATTTTAGGATAGATTTCCAGAAATGGAACTACTAGGATAATGGGTATGTAGATTATGTTTTTTGACACATATTACCAAATTCACTTATAAAAGAGTGGCACCAGTCTACACTGTACAAAGCAAGAGAATATCTTTATCATACCCTTACCTCCTGATTTCTCTTTACTAACTAAGAAATGAAAAACTTGGGGATAGAGTTTTACATTGGTCTGATGCCTGCTATATACCACAGTCAAAACTGAATTCACTACTTCAAGGCATGGTCCAACATCAACTTCTTCAGGATGCAGTAATTACCCACCTGGAACCAATAGGTATTAACCAGAACTTCTTGTTATCTCCAAACACCTGCTGGATATTTTTGATGAAGCCAAGGTTGAACCCATTTTTCACTGGGCCACTTGTAAACACTGGAGTACAGAAGGCCTCTGGGGCAGGGTAGTGGAGTTGAAGAAAAGAGAAAGAAAGCAATAAAGGAACAAATATCAGGATCATTGTAATTTTGCAGTTCTCCATGAATGTGACTTGGTTTTATGGTACCTGCTCGCTGTGGTAGCACAGGACCCTTATTCTTAGTCACTGCTAAATAACAGTAAAAACTAGTTTAATCACTGAATCCAAAATAAGTTTGTTTTTATTTTTTAAATTTTTTATTAAGGTTATTGATATACACTCTTATGAAGGTTTCACATGAAAAACAATGTGGTTACTAAATTTACCCATATTATCAAGTCCCCACCCATACCCCAATGCAGTCACTGTCCATCAGTGTAGGAAGATGCCACAGATTCACTGTATGCTTTCTCTGTGCTACACTGTTTTCTCCGTGACCCCCAACACCATGTGTACTAAACATAATATCCCTCAATCCCTATCTCCCTCCCTCCCAACCTGCCCTCCCCCACCCCTCCCCTTTGGTAACTACAAGTCCCTTCTTGGACTCTGTGAGTCTGCTGCTATTTTGTTCTTCAGTTTTGCTTCACTATTATATTCCAAAAATGAGGGAAATCATTTGGCACTTGTCTTTCTCCACCTGGCTTATTTCACTGAGCATAATATCCTACAGCTCCATCTGTGTTGTTGCAAATGGTGGGATTTGTTTCTTTCTTATGGCTGAATAGTATTCCATTGTGTATATGTACCTCATCTTCTTCATCCATTCATCTACTGATGGACACTTAGGTTGCTTCCATATCTTGGCTATTGTAAATAGTGCTGCAGTAAACATAGGGGTGCGCATGTCTTTCTGAGTCTGAGAAATTGCATTATTTGGGTAAATTCCAAGGAGTGGGATTCCTGGGTCAAATGGTATTTCTCTTTTTACGTTTTTGAGGAACCTCCATATTGCTTTTGTCTTGCCAATGGGTTTCAGCCCGGGGCAAGTTCGCTATGGATTCAATGTGACCAAAGAAAATTGACAGCAAAATGCTCTTTGGGGTGAAAGGGTTATACCCAACTTTATTTCCAGGTGGCAGGCCAGTCACTAGAATCCCATTCACTCAGAGTGAATCTGTATGCAGCAAGCCAGTCTCTGCCTTTGGGCCCCTCTGTCTGCACAGCTGTCCTTTGGGCTTCTCTGCACAGCTCTCCTACACAGCTGTCCTCTGGGCCTCTCTGCAAAGTTATCCCACACAGCTGTCCTCTGGGCCTCTATCCTCAGCACTGCCACCACTCCAGCCTCTTTTCTGCTTTCCTGCAGCCTTGCAGCCCTGCCATGGTGTTGCGCCCAGAGCACTGGGCAGATATCTTTATATAGAGTCAACAGCTATGTATTGCCCACAGGTGTGCAGGGAGCTAGTCAACCAGGTCAGGTGAGAATCTGGGCCACAGGAACTCTCATCTTATCCACACTTTCCACAATGGTTGAACTAGCTTATATTCCCACCAGCAGTGTAGGAGGGTTCCCCTTTCTACACATCCTCTCCAGCATTTCTTATTCTTAGACTTTTCGATGCTGGCGATCCTTACTGGTGTGAGGTGATATATCATTGTGGTTTTAATTTGCATTTCCCTGATGATTAGTGATGTGGAGTGTCTTTTCATGTGTCTGTTGGCCATCGGAATTTCTTCTTTGGAGAATTGTCTCTTCATATCCTCTGCCCATTTTTTAATTGGGTTATTTGCTTTTTGGGTGTTGGGGCATGTTAGTTCTTTATATATTTTGGATGTTAACCCCTTGTCAGATATGTCAATTACAAATATATTCTCCCATACTGTAGGATGCCTTTTTGTTCTGTTGATGGTGTCCTTTGCCGTAAAGAAACTTTTTAGTTTGATGTAGTCCCATGTGTTCATTTTTGCTTTCATTTCCCTTGCTCGAGGAGATAGGTTCAGGAAGAAGTTGCTCATACATATATTCAGGAGATTTTTGCCTATGTTGTTCTAAGAGTTTAATGGTTTCATGACTTACATTCAGGTCTTTGATCCATTTTGAGTTTACTTTTGTGTATGGGGTTAAACAATAGTCCAGTTTCATTCTCTTGCATGTAGCTGTACAGTTTTGCCAACATCAGTTGGCATTTTCCCATTGTATGTCCATGGCTCCTTTATCATATATTAATTGACCATGTATGGATGGGTTTACATCAGGGATCTCTAGTCTGTTCCATTGGCCTATGGTTCTCCTCTTGTGCCAGTACCAAATTGTCTTGATTACTATGGCTTTGTAGTAGAGCTTGAAGTACAGGAGCATAATCCCCCCTGCTTTATTCTTCCTTCTCAGGATTACTTTGGCTATTTGGAGTCTTTTGTGGTTCCATATGAATTTTAGAATGATTTTCTCTGTTCATTGAAGAATGATGTTGATATTTTTATAGGAATTGCATTGAATTTGTAGATTATTTTAGGCAGGATGGTCATTTTGACAATATTAACTCTTCCTATCCATGAGCATGGGATTTGTTTCCATTTATTGGTATTTTCCTTAATTTCTCTCATGAGTCTCTTGCAGTTTTCAGAGTACAGGTCTTTCACTTCCTTGGTTAGGTTAATTCCTAGGTATTTTATTCTTTTTGATGCAACTGTGTAAGGAATTGTTTTCCTGCATTCTCTTTCTGCTAGTTCATCACTAGTGTATAGGAATGCAACAGATTTCTGTGTATTAATTTTGTATCCCGCAATTTTGCTGAATTCAGGTATTATATCTAGTTGTTTTGGAGTGGATTCTTTAGGGGTTTTTATGTACAATATCATGACATCTGCAAACAGTGACAGTTTGACTTCTTCCTTGACAGTCTGGATGCCTTTTATTTCTTTGTGTTGTCTGCCATGGCTTGGACCTCCAGTATTATGTTGAATAGAAGTGAGGAGAGTGGGCATCCTTGTGTTGATCCCAATCTTAAAGGAAAAGCTTTCAGGTTCTCACTGTTAAGTATAATGTTGGCTGTGGGTTTGTCATATTTGGCCTTTATTATGTTGAGTTACTTGCCCTCTAAACCCATTTTGTTGAGAGTTTATATCATGAATGGATGTTGAATTTTGTCAAATGCTTTTTCAGCATCTATTGGGATGATCATGTGGGTTTTGTCCTTCTTTTTGTTGTGGTGGATGATGTTGATGGATTTTCAAGTGTGGTACCGTCCTTGCATCCCTGGAATAAATCTTTCTTGATCATGATGGATGATCTTTTTGATGTATTTTTCAATTTGGTTTGCTAATAATTTGTTGGGTGTTTTTGCATCTATGTTCAGCAGGTATATTTGTCTGTAATTTTCTTTTTTCTGGTGTCTTTGCCTGGTTTTGGTATTAGAGTGATGCTCGCCTCATAGAATGAGTTTGGAAGTATTCCCTCTTCTTTTCCTCTTTGGAAAACTTTAAGGAGGATGGGTATTAGGTCTTTAATAAATGTTTGATAAAATTCAGCAGTGAGGTCATCTTGTCCAGGAGTTTTGTTCTTAGGTCGGTTTTTGATTACTGATTCAATTTCATTGCTGGTAATCGGTCTGTTCAGATTTTCTGTTTCTTTCTTGGTCAGCCTTGGAAGGTTGTATTTTTCTAGAAAGTTGTCCATTTCTTCTAGGTTATCCAGTTTGTTAGCATATAATTTTTCATAGTATTCTCTAATAATTCTTTCTATTTCTGTGGTGCCCATACTGATTTTTCCTTTTTCATTTCTGATTCTGTTTATGTGTACAGACTCTCTGTTTTTCTTGATAAGTCCAGCTAGGAGTTTATATGTTTTGTATATTTTCTCAAAGAATGAGTACTGACTTCATTAGTTCTTCCTATTGCTTTATTCTTCAACTTTATTTATTTCTGCTCTAATTTTTATTAGGTCCCTCCTTCTACTGACTTTGGGCCTCATTTATTCTTCTTTTTCTATTTTTGTTAATTGTGAGTTTAGAGTGTTCATGTGGGATTGTTCTTCTTTCCTGAGGTAGGCCTGTATTGCAATACACTTTCCTCTTTGCATGGCCTTTGCTGTGTCCCACATATTTTGCAGTGTTGTATTATTGTTGTCTTTTGTCTCCATGTATTGCTTGATCTCTGTTTTTGTTTGGTCATTGATCCATTGGTTATTTAGGAGCATGTTGTGAAGCCTCCATGTGTTTGTGGGATTTTTCATTTTCTTTGCATAATTTATTTCTGGTTTCATACCTTTGTGGTCTAAGAAACTGCCTAGTACAATTTCAATCTTTTTAAATTTACTGAGGCTCTTTTTGTGGCTTAGTATGTGATCTATTCTTGAAAATGTTCCATGTGCACTTGAGAAGAATCTGTCTTTTGCTGCTTTTTGGTGGAGAGTTCTGTAGATGTCTGTTAGGTCCATCTATTCTAATGTGTTTTTCATTGCCTCAGTCTCCTTACTTATTTTCTGTCTGGCTGATCTGTCCTTCAGAGTGAGTGGAGTGTTGAAGTCTCCTTGAATGAATGCATTACATTCTATTTCCTCTTTTAATTCTGTTAGTATTTGTTTCACATATGTAGGTGCTCCTGTGTTGGGTGCATAGACATTTATAATGGTTATATCTTCTTGTTGGATTGACCCCTTAATCTTTATGTAACGTCCTTCTTTGCCTCTTGTGACTTTCTTTGTTTTGGAGTCTATTTCGTCTGACACAAGTACTGCAACTCCTGCTTTTCTCTACCTATTAGTTGCATTAAATATCTTTTTCCATTCCTTCACATTTAGTCTGTGTATGCCTTTGGGTTTAAAGTGAGTCTCTTGTAGGCAGCATATAGATGGGTCTTGTTTTTTTATACAATCAGCGACTCTGTGTCTTTTGATTGGTGCATTCAGTCCATTTACATTTAGGGTGATTATCAATAGGTATGTACTTAGTGCTATTTGCAGGCTTCAGATTCATGTTTACCAAAGGTTCAAGGTTAACATCCTTACTATCTAAGAGTCTCAGTTGACTCACTTAATATGCTATTACAAATACAATCTAAGGGTTCTTTTTTTCTCCTCCTTTTTCTTCCTCCTCCATTCTTTATATACTAGGTGTCACATTCTGTAGTCTTTGTGTATCTCTTGAGTGACTTTGTGGGTTGTTGATTTAATTTTGCATTTGCTTAGTAATTAACTTCTACTTTCTGAATTTTATTGTGGTTTTATTACTTCTGGTGACAGCTATTAAACTTTAGGAACACTTGCATCTATAGCAGTCTCTCCAAAATACACTGTACAGATGGTTTGTGGGAGGTAAATTCTTTCAGCTTTTGCTTATCTGGAAATTGTTTAATCCCTCCTTCAAATTTAAATGATAATCTTGCCAGATAAAGTATTCTTGGTTCGAGGCACTTCTGCTTCATTGCATTAAATACATCATGCCACTCCTTTCTGGACTGTTTGGTTTCTGCTGAGAAGTCTGATGATAGCCTGATGGGCTTCCCTTTATATGTGATCTTATTTCTCTCTCTGGCTGCTTTTAATATTCTGTCCTTATACTTGATCTTTGCCATTTTAATTACTATATGTCTTGGTGTTGTCTTCTTTGTTTCCCTTGTGTTGGCAGATCTGTGTACCTCCATGGCTTGTGAGACTTTTTCCTTCCCCAGATTGGGTGTTCTCAGCAATTACCTCCTCAAAGACACTTTCTATCACTTTTTCTCTCTCTTCTTCTTCTGGTACCCCTATAATGCATATATTGTTCCATTTGGATTGGTCACACAGTTCTCTCAATCTTCTTTCATTCCTAGAGATCCTTTGTTTTCTCCTTGTGCCTCAGCTTCTTTGTATTTCTCTTCTCTAGTTTCTATTTTATTGATCATCTCCTCCACTGTATCTAATCTGCTTTTAATACCCTCCATTGTGTTCTTCAATGATTGGATCTCCGACCAGAATTCATTCCTGAGTTCTTGAATATTTTTCTGTATCTCCATTAGCATGTTAAAAATTTTTTATTTTGAAATCCCACTCAGGAAGATTCATGAGGTTGATTTCATTTGAATCTTTCTCAGGTGTTGTATTCATATTTTTACTTTGAACCAGGTTTCTTTGGCATTTCATGCTTGTATATGGCACCTTCTAGTGCCCAGAAGCTCTATTCTCTGGAGCTGCTCAGCCCCTGAAGCAATGTAGGGGGTTGCAGGGAAGTGGTATTGGTGCCTGGATGTGGGGGGTGGGAAAGAGCTGTTTCCTGCTTCCTAGCTGCTATGCCTGCCCCCACTGCCAGAACCAGTGGGCCGAGCACACAGGTATAAGCCTCTATGCTTTGCATTTGTAGTTACTGTAGATGGGGCTTCCCTCTGGCTGCCCTAATGCCAGGGTATGGTTTGCCAGTTTGTGAGCCAGGTGGGGCTGGCTGGAAGAAAGGCACAGTAGGTGGCATATCATGGAGGGGTCCTTTGAGCTGTCTAGCCAGCCAGGGAGCTGGAGCACCTGAAGATCAAGAAATTTCCCAACCTGCTGGGAAGAGTTCACCTGGACAATTTTGTCTACCTGGCCTTTCTCCTGAACAGTAAGTTCTGTGCAATCATTGCCCCTTTAGCAGCCCTCTTGCTGTTAGGAAGTCTCTCAGACTGCCTGCTTTTCTTTTGTCCCAGAGAATCTGGATATGGATCCCTGATTTCCACAAGCAGCCGGAATCTCAGTCTCTCCAGGTATTCTGCCTGTCTTAGCTTTCTAATCCCCTAATCACAAGAGTACCATGAAAGCACCATGACATGTAGGTTTGTGCTTCCAGGGCAGATCTCCAGAGTTGGGTATTCAGTAGTGCCAGGCCTCCACTCCCTCCCCACTCTGTTTCTCTTCCTCTTGCAGGTGAGCTGGAATGGGGGTAGGGCTTGGGTCTCGCCAGGCCATGGCTTTGGTACATTACCCTGTTCTGTGAGGTTTATACTTTTCTCCAGGTATATGCAGTTTGGCACAGCCCTCTTTTCTGTTGCTCTTTCAGGATTCGTCTTATTAATTATATTTTTGTATTACATGCGGGTTTAGGGGGAAGCCTCTGTCTCACCTCTCACGCTGCCATCTTTAATCCCACTTTCAAAATAAGTTTGTTATTAAATGCAAAGAATGGGCACTCTGCTTTTTTAAAAAAAAAACAGAAGAAACACATGATGGTAGAAATAATTAAGCAGCCATGGGGGTAGTATATATTTTGTACTGCTGCATGTAAAGAATGAAAGAACAAATTTAGCAGCTTTTTATTTGAATCTAAGTGACAGCAGTCACCAAATGGTCTGTCTTTAGAGCTGGGATCAAAGTAATGACATATAAAGAGATGATAATGATATTGATTTGGTTCTGAAACATTTCAGAAATGAAGATGTTCACAATGAAGCCTGAAATGTAGAAACTGAATTTTACTCCTGAAAAAATGCCAGTGTGTGAACTATAATCACCTCAAAGACTATGAGGAATTGGACCATGTTAGTGCACATTATTTTTAGGCACACATCTATTCCATTAAGCAAACATTTTCACTGTTGGACGCTGGCTGCATTTGGCCATTTCCCATTTATTCTTTCTTTTCAGACTATTATCATGAAGCTTTTAGTACTCTCCTACTTTTCCTACTCTAAGCCAAATGTGCTAATCTACCACCCTAGCAACTAAGTGCTACATACATATTTGGTTTAGAAAATGAGTACAAATACTTTCTTACCTATTAGCACTATTAGCAAATGTATTTCAGAAGTATAGGTGGCTTTTGCACTAAACTTTCCTGAAATCTATCTTAGCTAAACTTGAAACATTTGGATACTTTCTCCTCACTCATCATTTATTGTCTTGCATACAGTGTAGATTATTTGTTTTCCCATAGATGATAAAAACTGCTGCACTGGAATCCCCCAGAAATAGAGTTTTCCAAATAATAACCCAAAGGATAGAGTAATGGACACAAAATGTGTTCATTTCTTGTACTCATTTTCTAGAGATTCACTTGTTCAATATGTTTATCTCATTCCCAGTCCCTACAGACCTCCTTGATGATTGAAGCTATTCAGTGATTTTTTGGTTTGGATTCTTTCTTAGGACTGTTTTTGGATGTGTTCAATAATTTAAGTCCTTTCCATCTTCATTAACCTCCTATTGTGAATAGTCTTGAAAGAGAAAGTGTCTCCCAGGGGAGCAAAGTGAAGGTATGCTAACTTCCCATTATGTGCCAGTGAATACTGGCATATTTCTAGTGATTAATTCATATCCAAATTATTATTGAATTTCAGGTCATATGGTTAATCCTCCCCCTCTGATGTTCCCTTCTGAACTGATTTCTTTCCTTCACTTCCTCATGTGAACTCATTTTAGAAAATTTTTGAGCTATAAATCTGGGGAGCTATTACCCAATATGAACTATAAAGAGCAATGGTCAATTTTAATTTTGTGTGAGGTTTCATTCACTAATGTTCTATTTAGTCTGTAAGCTTCATTCATATTGTCTGTACAGTTTGGTAAAACATGTTTACAACTGTCTAAGTTTGGAGGCACAGGGATATTGCTGTAGCTGAAATGCTTCATTGGAAGTTTTTCCCTTCTTTCAGAATAATCCACAGGTCACTCTGTTATACATTAATGTGTTTTCTCCTAGTTTTAATATTCAATCTTACCTAAGGTGGTTTTGTTTCTGCTGACAAGCCAACAATGGTAACCAAAGAGAATCACAAGGCTGACAAAAAACATGCAGGCCACAAAGAGGAGAAAAAGGACATGGAACTTAGAGCGAACACTGGGCAATTCCCCCTGGAAAAGAAATAATAAACAAACAGAAACAAAGGATTAAAGTTGCAAGGCTTGGCTAGCTTTTCTACATAGGTTAGTACTTTTTTCATATGCATAAAATGTCTACCTGTAATTTAAAAAATAGATTTTTGTAAAATTTTTATAAAACAGTTCTTTCTGTTGATGAACATACCTCATTATAGAAATGTTTTCAGCCTACAAAGCCTAAAATGGATCTTTGCTTAAATGCATTTCAGTGTAAAATAGAGTATATTATGTGCCAATTAGAAAAGTGTTACGTGAAAAGGGTATACTGAGACCATAATTGTTATGCATCCTCTTAAAGCTAGTACTCCATTTAGTTTGTAATTTATGAATCATTGGCTAGAGGTGATCTTGAGGTCATATATATGGTTCATCTTTTTGTCTCAAGGTGGGTTATTCTGGAATACCTTATGTCATGTTGAAAATGTTATGGTGATATATGTATGGAAATAAAACACATAGGTGGAATTTTAAAATGTACCTATAAGTCATGACCTGATTTCAAAACTACTGCAAATTTTCTGTGGTTGTTTTTAGAAATAAAGTGAAATGTGCTGGTATATTACATCCTATGGAACAGCTGTTTGAACAGTAACATTGAGCAGGATTTGACAGGCAATTCTAAAAATAAGTAGCTAAAGATTTTTATGGTTAGTTGGGACATCTTATTTTCTATGTGGCTCTAGCTTTTTTTTTTAACATGCAACCCTAAACCAGAATGAATTTTCTGAAGTTCTATAGCATGCTCAGTGTATAATATTTTATCTTCTGAAGAGAACCTTAGAAAATATTTTCAACTTTGGAGTGAGCAGTTGGGACAATTTTCCTTTTTTCCTGTGCTGGTCATTGTTTTGGCATGATGAATTGCTCTGAATATTTCCAAATGCTCTCAGGTAATAAAGTTCAAGGTGATTCTTGAAGTGGGCCTTAACATTAGGATCTGGCTTTATGCCAGTTTGGAAGGGGAAAGTTAAGTCTTAGAAACCTTGGCAAATTCAGATACTATAGATTTTTCTCTTGCTTTAAAGGAAATTTTGATCTGTTTTGATATAAAGAAATATTGGGAATATTCCAGAGTATGTATGTTTGAAGGATGAAGATAAGGGGAAGTAAGCCTGTCAGATGCTCTCAACTGAGGGGTGGTCTGGGTGAAATCTGCATGGGGGCAGAGCACCCCAGGGAATAGCTGCCCCAAGGATTTCAACTTTCAGGAAATTTATCTGAAGCTGTTTTTTGAAATGATCCCTCCACAAAATCTTGGCCTAAGCACCCACACTGAATTTGACTGGTTTTTGTTTGTTTTGTTTTGAATTTATAAGAAAGACTCTGCATATTGTTCTGTAGTGGTTTTTGCCTGGCTGGGTTTTGTTTTCATAATCTCTATTTTTCATGTATGTTTTTAAAAATCTTTTAAAGCTCACATTTATTTTACTTCACATCTTTCATTGTTAAGTGGGCAATAGGAAATGACCTGGCAAAAGGGAGATATAAAGTCAGTTCACGCCCTGAATAGCTAAGCTGGAAGTCTTTCTCTCCCGTGATTTCTTTTATAGAACACTCTTCTGTATGCCCAAACTTATTTACTGTGTGTCCCTTGATGAAGCCCTTTATTTTTTGTTAGAAAAGGACAACAGCCCTATGTTCTAAATTACCTTCTTGGGGATAACCAAGCTAAATTACTTAAACAATAACCATCAGAAATGGGAATACAGGTAGAACGACACTATTATCTTGGTTCTAAAATAATTCATCGCCTCTGTGAGATTAATGGCCCAGTGTGGGAAGTGTATATTACTACTTTTTCACAAGGCAAAGATCAATTTCCTATTAAAGTAGCTACTTTTTAAGTTAATATTGAGAGGAGACAGATGTTCTGATGGCCTTCCAAATTCTGTATTCGAAGGGATAAGAGTTTCTCTATAGCAGGACCATAATTGGCAGTAGAACATGGTACAGTGTTTGAGGTCACTGGGCTTAGGGTTGGACAGATTCAAGCCCTGATTTTGAAACTTATGAAGTGGGAAATCTGAGCAAATCACTTAACTACTATAAGCCTTAGTTTTATCATGTTTAAATGAGGCTAGTAATTCGTGCTTTGCCTACTTCACAAGGTTGTGGTGAGGATAAGATGAGATAATAGATATGAAAGTGGTTTGAAAACAGTTAAGTACCATACAGATGGAAGCTGCTGCTCTTAGGAACATAGCTAGTTTCCTTGATATCTGGTTTTTAAAATACATGGTAATGTTTACTTTTAATTTTAAGGGGATACTCAATTTAAACTGAAAAAGCCATCACTAAACCATACTAAATTTCTCTTTGCCTGGAGAGACTGCAAAGAAGCATTTCTATGAAATGTGAATGCCCTTTTCATTATGAGGGCAAGCCAAGACAGGTTCTCTCACTGTTCATCTGTGAGGCATTAGCTAGTCTATTGTGGAGAAAAATAAGGGAATAGGAGGACAAGGCTATGTTCACCCATGGTATTGCTTGTGAATATGAGTCTATTTCTGATGATTAATTCATATCCAAATATTATCTTCAAGAGTAAAAAGGAAACAGCACCTTTCTAGCACTGTGATATTTGATTATTGACTAAGTAGGAGGTCCAAAGGCAAAATGTGTGAAAGACAGCATTGTTTAATATGAGAGTAAAGGGCGTTCCTTAAATAGTGGCCTACTGTGTTAAGGAACCAGTAAGGTTGGTAGTAAAGACCAAGGCTTACATTTTCCCTGCTGAATTGGATTCAGTATATTTTCTTTATGTTCAGGGTAGTAGCTCAGTGTATGAATGGAATGCCAAACAGGTCACGGAAACCTGAGCAATAGGTAAGAGATCCTGTGCTGTGGAAAGGGGCCAAAGAAAGCCTTAGCAAGTTATTAAATACCTGAATCAAGCAAGTTAGAGGGAGAATGGAAAGTACATATCACCACAATTTCCTACACTGTACACTGTACACTATTTTGTACACTAGTAGAGATCAAAGCATAAATTAACAATTTAAATAGTCTCTGCTATTTAGGTTCTCACTGCCTTACCTCTGTCCTTTTTTCTTCAGTTTATTATAATATATATTCTAGTCACAGGATTCATGTCTTTCCCTGCTGCTTTACCTCTCTATCAGAGGTGAGATATTCCTTTTATATATGCTCTTGTGCAATATCCTGTAATAATTAGTAGCTCTGTCGACTTATGTATTTTTCTGTTCAGGATCAGTTTGGACAACCCTCATCATGGAAGATTATGATGTCTTAGTAAATGTACTGGAGTTGTGGGGAAGGGATGGATGTCTTCTGGAGTCCATGGTCATGAAAATTTAAAAAAAGTATTTCATTATACTGTTTCTAGACCCTGCACACATAAACAAACTGAAAATTTGCCTTCAATTCTTTTGGAAATATATGGATATGATTGATATTTTCAAGTATTAGAAAGATGAAAATAGATTTTTTCAGATTTCATTATAATTATTGGAATCACATTTTGAAAGGCAAAGTTCTTTCAACATCAGTTTCATTTGCTCTTGGCAATGAGCCAATAAAGCAGGTAACAAAGTCAGTAGTAAACCTCAGATCTCCTAATACTCAGTCCAGTGTTTATCATACAGACTTTATATACTATTCCCCATTTCATTTTAGACATATGTGAGGATGAGTCAATTAATCTTTCTGTTTAATAGGAATTTTGCAATGCTCCTTTCAGCAGGGAATTAGGAATTATTTTCTAACAATGAGGGAATACTTTGCTAGCCATTTTCTTAGGAAACTGGGGATTTAGAATTAGTTTCAACATTTTTCAAATCTATAAGAAGTAGATTTTTAAAACTTGACTAGAGGAGTATATTGTAAAGAAAGAATAAGAGTCAAGAGGTTTCCTGAAGGCCTTAGCAAGATTCTCACACATGACAGAAACTTTTTAAAGTGGAATCTTTGAATAACACCCTCTTAAATCTCAAATATTCAACACAGGATATTTGGTTTTGGCACTTTTCCTTCTGTTTACTTCAGTATTTTATTTCAAAATGTATAAAAAAGAAGGTAAGGTAAACAATATCAGAGACTGGAGTGTGTGTTTGTTTTGGGGGGACCCTTTAGGATTTTTTAACTTACTCTCCAGTATTTGATGAAATAGCTGAAGACTGTTGTAGCAATGTACAGGCAGTAGAGAACAGAATAAGCTAAGAACTGAAGGAAGAATTTGTAGTTTGAAAATCCAATGCAGTTATTAACCCTAAAAAAAGAAATAAGAAAAAGAAAAACTAATTTGAAATCAAGACCCATTAATTGAGAATACACTGAAACATAAGTGAACTAAGCAAGAGAAGTATGTTACTCCTGCTGCTTCATTATATGTTGTGTAGAAAGTCAACATAAATAGAAGTCCCTTAATGGGAACAGGCTGGAAAAACAAGTTCATGTCTCATTTGTTTCTCCTGTCATTTACAGGCACAGAGATACATGGCCTACCTAATAGTTGTGGACTGGTTTCTGACACACCCAAGCAAACTTAGATCTTGTATGCTGAAAACCTTTTACAATTTCAACAGCTATACTTAGTGCAGTGTGGGATGTTCTCTTTGTAGTTAGATGATTTCAGAAGTTCTCTAGGTCACACATACAAAATTTGGAAAAGAATTGCTGCATTTAACAATCTAGAGTATTTCAAACATCAAGATAGCTAAAGACAGAACTGAGTTGTGTAATGTTTTGTGTTCTATTTCATTAGTATGTCCAATTACTAAAGTTAATGGACAAGAGACCATTGGCTTTGTGACCCCGGGAATTCACTACCATGCCTTTGGTGGAATATTTAGTCTTGCCTTAAAATGTTATGCCTCTCCTGTCCTTCACATAAATACAAAGCCCAGTGAATTACGGTAGCAGAAACAGGCTTAGAAAAATAGGCATATTAACCAACTTTGACCCTTTTAGAGGAGAGAAATGAATCAAAGGGACATACCAAGGGCAGTGATGGTCCATTTTTAATACACACCTATAAAAGGAACAAAATACACTGTGATAAGTGGGGCAACAGAAATAAAGCAACACCTCATCATTGAACTCAAGGTGTCACCAGTATTTTTACATGGTACTAGTGCACTCATTCCTAGATTCCCACTATAGCTACTCCATTACTATTATGACCTCAGTTATTCCTAGGATGAGCCAATCACAACACTTTATAGGATCAGGCTGCAGCAAGTTACATGCCTAGAAGACCAATCTGTAAAAGGAATAGTGAACTCTAGGGTACTGATTCAGAGAAAAGGTCCAGGATCTCTCCCCTCATTTTGCTTAATAGTCAGTTTAATAAAAGTACAGAGGAAAACATATGGCCACACCCTGTTAAAAAAAATAGAGACCAGCCTTGAAAATTCCATGAGCAGACAAAACCAGTTTAGGCAGACAAACAAAGCTTAATTTAGCTTATTTTGCAAGACTACACTCACCTGGCTCATTTCTTGCTAATGCCTCTGGAAATCATAAAATTTACTGTTTTCCAAAGTTGATATGAGGTGATCACCGACCGAATTAACCACTGACCAATTCTCTATCATTAGCAAAATTTTAATACTATAACCAATCACTGTGAAGATTAAACAGTTACTGCCTTCTCACTATATAAGATGCTTTACCACATACTCCCAAGACTCATTCCATGTTTCAATATGAGTCCTCCTGGTTTGCAAACTGCCTTTTTGGTGTGTACACAACAAACTTTTACTAATTACTACTTTGGTGATTTTTTGTTTTTACTTCAGCTATTTCTAAACTTTTGACAAGCCTGTGTTTGAATCAATGGTAACAGAAATGTGGGTGAAAAAAGCACCCAACAAACAAGACATGAAGATTATATTTATTAACATAAAAATGGGGTTTTACAAAGCTGGAGCAATTTGAATAACAAAATTAAGTAGTATTGAACTATAACTCAAAATATAAAATGATTGTCCATGTCTACATATTGATATGAATAAATGATTGAATAAATAAATAAATGAGGGAGGAGAGACAAATCTCTCTTGCAGAAGAATTCTAAATAATTTATGTAGATATAGATACTCTCTGCCTGCAAGGATGGGCAACATAACTCCTCATTCCTTTAGTGTGGGCTGTACATAGTGGCTTCCTTCCAAAGAGTATAGTATGGAATGGGTGGGGGAATGTAACTTTACAGTGGAGAAATTTGACAAACACTATCTAAGCCAGATGATCAAGATTAACATCACAGTGATGTCATATTTATAGTATGGACCCTTGATAGGATATGGTGAGAATGGTACTTTACCTTTATGGTCTTCCTCCTCAGAACATATTACCCAAGTCTAATCATGAGAAAAATATCAGATATATCCCATCTGAGGGATATTCTATAAAATATCTGACCATTAATCATAAAAACTGTTAAGGTTGTCAAAAATAAGTAAAGTCTGAGAAACTGTTACAGCTAAGAGAAGCTCAAAAAGACAGAACAACTACATGTAATGTGGTATCCTGGATGTGATCGTGGAACAAAAAAATGATGTAGGGAAAAACAGGAAATCTAAATAGAGTAAGAACTCCAGTTTAAAATAATGTTATCAATATTAGTTCATTAATTGTAACAAATGCACTATAATGTAAGACAGTTAACAATAAAGGAAGCTGGGTGTGGGACATATGAAAACTATCTTCACAATAATTTTATAAATCTAAAACTGTTCTAAAATAAAACATTTATTTTTAAAATGGGGTTTTATTTTTCTTTCCTATCTTTAGAATAGTTTGACTTATCATTATTCCTGTGAGGGTGTCTGGCATGTGCTCATTATGATTGAAAGGAAATGTTATTACCTAGGCATGGTTACATGTTAAGATCAGTCACTTTGTTGTCTAGGCAACCATCAGTGGCAAAGTTCAGTCCAGGGGAAATATGGCTGTCACTTACATGGCACAGACAGAACAGTGGTGGCAGCGATCTGGCTTGATCAAATGGCACCGGTCACAGAATCTTACAGCTACAGGAAAAATAAGGTGGTTAGCATTGGTTAGGGCTCAATATGATGTCATATATTTTACTAGCCTATCTGGATTGTTTATACACTGATTAAAGCTAGTCAAACTCATCTCATTTCAAGTTACCAAGAAAAAGGCAGATCACATAAGAAAATTGTAGTATGTAATTTTTTTTCTTTTGGATCATTCTTGAAGGCACTTTTTGGGGGATGAAGGTAAGGGATAAGGTTTATGTATCTGGATATCTGATCATAAGATTTTGTATTTCAAAACAAACTGTACTGTCAACCACTTGAATGATCTTGGGAAAATAATTTAGCTTCTGTGTACTATCTGAAAACTTTCCTATCTGAAAATGAGGATTCATAATTTATCTCCTGTCTCCAGAGGTTGGATTGTATGGGGTGGGTAAAACTAAAGCATGGTAAAGAGAGTCATTCTTGAGTAACAATTTGAAAAATAGAATAGACATTCTAGTATAATTAGTTCAATTGGCCTCTTCACAGATAAAGGAAGTAAAGACCTGAGCCATATCAAGTGACTTATACAAGGTCAAACAGCAAGTGAGTGGCAAGGCTCTTACCAGTCCAGTTTTATGACCCCATAGTTCTGAGTTCTCTTCATTCTGTAAGATNTATTACGTATATATATATATATATATATAACCCTCTCCTTCCTTTTTTTATTTTCCTTAAATGAGAGGCATTATACTTTCCTTCTCATTTTCTCTGTATTCATTGATAGAAATAACTGTGTTTAATGCTATTATTAAGTGTAGCAACTAAAAGTATGAATAATTTGAGCTAATACAATAATTCCATCTTAAGCATACATTAAGGACACAAAACTGACTCAAGATAACAGGCTGCTAATTCAGCAGAGTTTGTGTTCATTTCTAGCAATGGGCAGGTGACGCAAGCATGGGTATAACTGAAGCAAGGAGGAATGGAAAGGGACATGCATATTTGGGTACTTCAGCATGTTTTTAAAAATAAGGTCAATGCCACTGCCCAGTTTAATCCACCATTTTCTTTCACTTAGATGACTGCAAGAGCTGCCTAATTTACTCTGTTTTCATTCTTGATCCCTACAATACACTCTCTACAGGATAGCCACGTGACTTGTTAAAATGAAAATCAGATCATATTGCTCTTCACTTATAATCTTCAGTGCATTTACAACACCCTTAGAATAAAGTCCAAACTCCTTACCATGGCCTGTGTCATCTTGCCCTTGCCCGCCTCTTCAACATTAACTTATACTATTCTCCACCTTCCATATATTACAATCATACGGGCAGGCTGTCTGCTCTTCTAATACTGCAAGCTTGCTCCTATCTCAGGGCCTTTTATACTTGCAGTTCCTTCTGCCTGGGATGCTAGCCCCTCTGCTTTTTGCATGGCTAATTACTTCTCAGATCAAATGACATTTCCTCAGAGAAGCCCTCTTTATTACTCTATCATGGTGGCTGCAAACAAGTGCTTCAAGGGCCCAGGGAATAGTGAGTAGTGAGCAAAGCAGCCAGTTAAGAGACTAGGAGAACCGGAGAATATATATCCTGTTTAAGGAGATCAGCTCTAGCTAATTTTTTGCCATGTGGAAATACAGTTTGAATGCTGCCAGAGTGTCTGAATTTTCAAGAGAAGCCAGAAATATGGATTTTCATGTGGAAAAATTCTAATTGTTAAAAATTAGTAAAAACATTATAGATCAAACAAAATACATCTCTGGGCCTACTTCATCCCATACGCCTCTAGTTTGTAACTTCTGCTCTATCACATAATTCTGTGTACTATTGTGAGAAATTATATAGATAATTTCCTGTCTGTATATCTCAGTATGTATGAAAATTTTCAAAAAAATCATAACCACCATGACAGTATTACTCTAACAAAATTAACAATAAGTCCTTAATATCATTTAATTTCCAGACCATATTAAATTTTCTCCAATTGTCATATGGGATCTTAATAAATATTTGTTGAACAAATAATCAAGAGATGAATAGACATGTTTAACAGTATAATTCCCAAAGCCTTAAAATGTGACCTTCCTTACTAGAAACATTAGGATGAGTTATCAAAAGAGCCCTGGTTTTCAAACTTTAAGAGGTAGAGAATTGTTTCAACTTGTACCATTTTACTCATGCAGATGAAAGCTAAGAGTAAAACTCCACAGTGGATACTTACCCAAGAAAAATTAAGGCATATTTCTGCCGAAAGACTTGTGCAAGAATATTCATAGAAGATATACTGATAATAGATAAGCACTGGAAATAACCCAAATGTGAATCAACTACTGGATGGGTAACAAACTATGATATATCCATACAATGAAATTCTACTCAACAATAAAAGGAATGAAATACACAACGTGATGAGTCTTAAAACATTATACTGAAGAATAGAGGCCAGACACAACAGTACATTCTGTATAATCCAGTTTATATAAAATTCTAGAGCAGGTAAAACTAATCTATGTTGGAGAACTATCAGAATAGTGGTTGTCTTTGGAGATGGTGATGGTGGGATTGAGAAGGAGCATGAGAGAACTTTCTGATGTGTAGTAATGTTTACAGAGGTTTTGTTTACACAGGTTTGTACATTTGTTGAAACACTGAATGGTACACTTAAGATCTGGACATGTTTTATTATTTAAATTTAACCCCCCAAAGTGGTAAAATATTTAGGTGGATGTGTACTAATATATGCTACTATTTTGAAATGTATCAAAAAATAAGTTGGCTTGATGGGTAGAGTGATGGATTAGTGGACTGTTATGTGATAAAGCAGTATAGTCGAATGTTAGTGGTAGCCTCCAGTAGTGGGTATTCCAGATGTTTATTACATAATTCCTCTATCTTGGCAGTATGTTTGAAATTTTTTATAATAAAATGTTGAGAAAAAACTCCAGAGTGTTTTTCTGAAAAGGAGAGAAAAAAGGCTAGCCTGAGGATATATATGACTTAGCCTTTGTGAGATCCTCACTGATCTGCCTCCCTAGCTGATTTTGGATGAACTAACCTCCACTCCCAGTTCTTGTGTAAACTGGCAGCTTCTTGGCCATGTCAACGAGAATTTGCTTCTGGACTTCAGGTCTCTCTTCATTTTCATAGCGCTCCTTGTCTGTATAGGACAAGTGAAACTGGAAGCAGAAGTGAAAGGCAAGACTTAATTTTCCAAGATTACAGTAAGATTAAAAACAACAACAATAACTATTCAGATGAAAATATTTGTTACCTATTCATGAAGCCCAGGTAACAATTTGGCTTATAACTTTCTCTGCATAATTATCTCAGTTATCTAATCTGGCTTTTATCTCAATCTTTATAATTCTATGTGATAGGTAATATTGCTTTATAAATAAAGAAAATAAAATTTAAGAGAGATTAAGTACCTTGTCTATGGTTCTACTCATTCAACTAGTAAGTACCAAAACTAAACCCCAGGCCTAGTCCATCTGACTCCAAACTTGTGCCTTCCACTCCATTATACCATAATATGGTGCTGCATACAGATGTTTGACATTTTGCGGCCAGGACCCTGTTGATGGTTAACTATGCTTGTTATTAAGTTGTGAGTATTTTTAATAGGTAACATTCTTGGAGAGTCTAGATGAGACCGCTTTTGACATTGCATAGTATAATATTATAAATGAGTAGAAATTTGGATATTCTCATTGTTTCAGGAATTTTTTAGTTTGGTATAGAGCTTGTTGCCATGTTTGCACCACACTTTGCTAATCTTACAAAAGACATGTCAATAATTTCCCAAAGTAATACAGAGCTGAAAGCTTTCTTCTGTCTGGGCCAAAGGGTAGGCAGAGGTGAAAAAGAAAAGGATCTATGGTCAGATTTTCAGGGTTTAGACCTCATCTGTGCCACTTAATAGTTAAAAATCACTTTGGAAAATCATACACTCTCAACCTAAATTTCCTCATCTGCAAAATAGAGGAAATAATACCTACTTCACAATATTGGGGAGGGCTGGATAATAAAAAGTAATTAAAAGCATCTTTTATAAGCCCAATTTCATAAACCATTTAAAATATTTGATATTGCCAAACTTTAAATTTTAACTAGTTAGTGTGTAGTAGTATTTTACTGTGATTTTAAGTTGCACTCCCCTGATTACTAATTATACTGAGCATCTTTTCATGAGTTCATTGGTCATTTAGGTATCTTCCTTGTGAAATAGTCAAGCCTTTTTTCTGCTAAAAGAGAACTGGAAGTTTTGCCTTTTATTTCTGTATTGATTTGTAGGAATGCTTTATACATTTTGGACACTAGTCCTTTGTTGAATATTTTCTACCAGACTGTGGATTTCCTTTTTCCTTTCTTTTTTTTTTTTTTTTTGTTATCATTACTCTACAATTACATGAAGAACATTATGTTTACTAGGCTCCCCCCTTCACCAAGTCCCCCCTACAAACCCCATTACAGTCACTGTCCATCAGCACAGTAAGATGTTGTAGAATCACTACTTCTCTTCTCTGTGTTGCACAGCTCTCCACATGCCCCCCCACACATTATACATGCTAATCGTAATACCCCCTTTCTTTTTCCCCACCCTTATTCCTCCCTTACCTGCCATTCTCCACAGTCCCTTTCCCTTTGGTAACTGTTAGTCCATTCTTGGGTTCTGTGCTTCTGCTGCTGTTCTGTTCTTTCAGGTTTTCTTTGTTCTTATACTCCACATATGAGTGAAATAATTTGGTACTTGTATTTCTCTGCCTGGCTTACTTCATTGAACATAATACCCTCTAGCTCCATCCATGTTGTTGCAAATGGTAGGATTTGTTTTCTTCTTATAGCTGAGTAATATTCCATTGTGTAAATGTACCACATCTTCTTTATCCATTCATCTACTGATGGACACTTGGGTTGCTTCCATTTCTTGGCTATTGTAAATAGTGCTGTGATAAACATAGGGGTGCTTATGTCTTTTTCAAAGTGGGCTGCTGCATTCTTAGGGTAAATTCCATTTCTATTTTGAGCTTTTTGAGGAACCTCCATAGTGCTTTCCATAGTAGCTGAACTAATTTACATTCCCACCAGCAGTATAGGAGGGTTCCCCTTTCTCCACAACCTCGCCAACATTTGTTGTTGTTTGTCTTTTGGATGGTAGCCATCCTTACTGGCATGAGGTGATATCTCATTGTGGTTTTAATTTGCATTTCTCTGATAACTGCTGATGTGGAGCATCTTTTCATTGTCTGTTGGCCATCTGAATTTCTTCTTTGAAGAACTGCCTGTTCAGCTCCTCTGTCCATTATTTAATTGGAATATTTGCTTTTTGTTTGTTAAGGTGCATGAACTCTTTATATATTTTGGATGTCAAGCCTTTATTGGATCTGTCATTTATGAATATATTCTCCCATACTGTAGGGTACCTTTTTCTTCTATTGATGGTGTCCTTTGCTGTACAGAAGCTTTTCAGCTTGATGTAGTCCCACTTGTTCATTTTTGCTTTTGTTTCCCTTGCCTGGGGAGATATGTTCATGAAGAAGTCGCTCATGTTTATGTCCAAGAGATTTTTGCCTATTTTTTTCCTAAGAGTTTTATGGTTTCATGACTTACATTCAGGTCTTTGATCCATTTCGAATTTACTTTTGTGTATGGGGTTAGACAGTGATCCCGTTTCATTCTCTTACATGTAGCTGTCCAGTTTTGTCAGCACCATCTGCTGAAGAGACTGTCATTTCCCCATTGTATGTCCATGGCTCCTTTATTGTATATTAATTGACCATATGTTTGGGTTAATGTCTGTAGTCTCTATTCTGTTCCACTAGTCTGTGGCTCTGTTCTTGTGCCAGTACCAAATTGTCTTGATTACTGTGGCTTTGTAGTAGAACTTGAAGTTGGGGAGCAAGATCCCTCCCACTTTATTCTTCCTTCTCAGAATTGATTTGGCTATTCAGGGTCTTTGGTGTTTCCATATGAATTTTTGAACTATTTGTTCCAGTTCATTGAAGAATGCTGTTGGTAGTTTGATAGGGATTGCATCGAATCTGTATATTGCTTTGGGCAGGATGGCCATTTTGACGATATTAATTCTTCCTAGCCAAGAGCATGGGATGAGTTTCCATTTGTTAGTGTCCTCCTTAATTTCTCTTAAGAGTGTCCTTTTAGTTTTCCCGGTATAGGTCTTTCACTTCCTTGGTTCGGTTTATTCCTAGGTATTTTATTCTTTTTGATGCAATTGTGAATGGAATTGTTTTCCTGATTTCTTTCTTTTGGTTCATTGTTAGTGTATAGGAAAGCCACAGATTTATGTGTGTTAATTTTGTATCCTGCAACTTTGCTGTATTCTGATACCAGTTCTAGTAGTTTCGGAATGGAGTCTTTAGGTTCTTTATGTACAATATCATGTCATCTGCAAATAGTGACAGTTTAACTTCTTCTTTACCAGTCTGGATTCCTTGTATGTCTTTGTTTTGTCTAATTGCTGTGGCTAGGACCTCCAGTACTATGTTAAATAACTGTGGGGAGTGTGGGCATTGCTGTCTTGTTCCCGATCTCAGAGGAAAAGCTTTCAGCTTCTCGCTGTTCAGTTCCTTTTCCCCTTCATTTTTTGGTGCATTTTGATGAATAGATCTTGGCGGGAGTGTAGAATTATGCAACTGCTTTGGAAAACTGTTTGGGAATATCTACTTAAATATATGCCTAGCATATCACTCAGCAATTCTACTTCTAGTTATACACCGAGGAGAAACGAGTGTGTGTGTGTGCCGAAATATATGTACGAGATTGTTCATGCAGCTTTATTCATAATAGAAAAAAGCTGGTGACAACCTGAGTTTTGTTCAATTGGTGAATAGATAAACAACTGTGATAAAAAGGAATAACCAATAGCTGTAAAAAGGAATGAACAACTGAAACATGCATCAATATGAGTGAATCTGAAAAAAGTTATATTGAGTAAAGAGCTTATATAAAACTGCACTACAATTCTTTTTTATGAGGGTAAAAAATAGGCAAAACTAATCTATGGTGATAGAAGTCAGATTAGAGGTTACATTTGAGAGGAGGTTGATTGGGAAGGCGCATGAAGGAGATTTCTGAGGTGTTGGAAATGTTCAAAATCTTAATCTGAATGGTGATCATATGGGTGCATATATAAGTAAAAATTTATCAAGTTGTACTCTTCACAACTTAATTCTTGAGTAGAGTATGTATGTTAATATCAATAAAATAGTAAAACAAATGAATTAATAAAATATTTAAGATAATTTAAATATATATAACTTTCTAAATTAGAAATGTATAAAATCAAATACTCTAGTTTAAAAATAATATTTAGTTCTCCATTTTTATGGTATGTCATTCTCAAGTAGAATAAGAATTGAGTACCTGGCTGGAGGTATGTGGAAAAGTAGTTTTGGCTGTTACAATAAATATAGTGCACTATAGGCACTTAAGGAGTGGTGGCCCAGGATGTTATGGATTCTGTGATGAACTGGACGTATGTAGACAACTAAGAATTTTTCCAAGCAAAAGCATTATAAAGTAGTAACTAAATAAAGTTTAATATAAACTCAACTGATTAGTTTGATTTTTAGAAGGAAAATTAAAGTTGACCCTTCAATAATGAGGGGGTTTGGGGCACCAACCACCCGCACAGTTGAAAATCCTTTTTACTTCCCAAAACTTAACTGTTAAGTCTACAGTTGACTGGAAGCCTCACTGATAACATAGTCAATTAACACATATTTTGTATGTGATATATATTATATACTGTATTCTTACAATAAAGTAAGCTAGAGAAAAGAAAATGTTTTTTCAAATTGTCACAAATCTCCAATAAACTTTCCAATATATTTATTGAAAAAATCCACATATAAATGGACCTGTGCAGTTCAAACCAAGGTTATTAAAAGGTCAACTGTATATGAACTCAAAAGTACAGTTTTAAATTAATTCTTTTTAATTGTAGCACCTTGGGGAAACTCTTTATTTTGGGGATGTCCTTGGGAATTTAACTTTTTTGTGGCATACTGCATCTGTTTGAAAAGCAGAGGTAGAATTGTTATGGCTTGTGTGTGATGAAAAGCTTATTGTTATTCAGGGGGTAGGCTTTGGTTTGGAATAGGACATCAGGTTCTGGATGCCCTAATTCTGGGAGTAAATAAGCCTTTTTAAGGAT